AGAGAGGGAGAGAGAGAGAGAGAGAGGGAGAGAGAGAGAGAGAGAGAGAGAGGAGGGGCCGCGGAAGGGGGGTCGAAGATTAGGACGTGGCGCGGACCTAGAGACGAATATGACGGTCGGCCGACATGCTGAGAGGAAATAATGGCAACAAGATGCGGCATTAGCACAACGCAGAAAGAGGAGCGTCGTGGCCAAAGCAACAGCGACACAAACATGGACGTAGGGCATGAGCCACAGCAACACAAGCATGGACGAAAAGCATGAACCGCACGCATGCCAAAAAAGGGGTGCTTCATGAGCACAGGTGAACATGTAGATCGCCTCCCTCTTTCATTCGGCTGTACTCTCTCACACACACGCCCCGCTGGCGTCGGCGCCGCCCCTACGCGCATCTGGCCAGATACGCCGCCCGATACTCACAGGGACAGCGTGATCCTTCGAAGGATGGGAGTGTGGAACAGCTCGCGCACATCCCCGGCCTCAGCGTTCTCCGCTTCCTGAACGTGCGCCGCGGCGTCTCCGATCCCGGCCGCAACTGCTTCGTCGCCGCCGCCGCCGCCGCCAGAGTCCAGATCTATCAGAGAGAGACAGCGTCATCGTCATCTGCCGACATGTACGTGACGTTGACTCAAGAGTGAGGTGTTGGGGTGGGGTAGGGGGTCACCCCACACCCAAAGGAAACGAGTCACCTGTTTGCTTTTCGCTACAATACTGTCGATCACGCGCAAGCGATCTCGTGCCCGCAGAAAAATGCCGTCGTTATAATAGAAGCTATCATATGTTGTCAAATATGTATGAAGTCGAGTGTCGTGTCTCATGGGAGAGGCACCAGGAAGTTGCTTCTGGCGCATCGATCGGTTTCATGTGCCTGGGATGCGTGCGTGTCGTGCGTTGATACCTCATTGTTCTGGAAGTCCATTTTCACAATCTGTCGGCATGCTTTCGGTCGCACCAACCGGGGTCACACGGGAGGATAGTCGCACATGATGTGTTTTCTTCCTCCCTTTTCCTGCCGCCGTGTCATTGCCTCAACCTTCTTCGTCCCAGAAGACGATTCAGCAGTTTTTTTCGACCGGGAAGCCGGGTTCTTCGTACACACGAATGAATCACCATCAACCTTTCCTCGGGAAAATACAAGACCAAGACAGACATCGGTTCGAGTATCTGCACCGAGATTCGACTCACGCCAAAAACGCCAGCGGGCTTGAAGGTTGCAAGGCCACCGACGGAACCACTGGAAGCAGTCAGCTCTCAACGGGAGGGTCAAGTATTGGTGACATACCACCGTCTGTTGCTTTGCAACGCACATCGACCGTTCCGCACGAACCGCGGGTTTAGGTACGAGAGCCTGATATTCCTCTCGAAAAAGAGTAATGGACAGGCCGCCAATGAGCCGCGTGAAGCCAAGAGTCACGAATACCAGCCTGGTTCGGTACCCGAGCTCTCCACGTCTTACCCCCCCATTCTTTTTCTCCTCCCCCGCCCCCCCCCCCCTCCTCGAAGCCAAAATAGGAACACGGATAGAAACCTGACAACCCGGCCGTCCGAAGGTATAGAGGGTCGCCCTCGCCGACCGCCTGCCCTGAAAAGCCCAACCCGAGTACGTCCAGCCTGCCATTCATTCTCGCCACGTGCTCCAGCACCTGTAGGATGGATACCACAGCAACGACCTCAGTCAACGTCGTAGTCAGTGACTTGGGGGCAACCTCCCCGCCTGTCTCGATATCCGAGGGTCTTGCACTATTAGAAACTACAGCCCCTGCATAAATCAATAGGTGACCTGGCACTGCGGTCTCTCAAGACAATCCTCCAGGCTCTGCACCCCCTCGCGTAGACGGCGCCAAAGCTGACCCCACGTCTCTCGAACGCGCTCTGACGGCGCCGCCCTCCCTGCCTTTCAATCCCAGCACATGCCCCCCTTCAACAAAGCAGCGCCTTGAACTACACGTGGACCTCCTTCTCAACGCCACACGATAAACCAACACACCACACCACATGCACAACATACCTGCATCAACATACCTGCATCGCCTCGTCGTGCCTCCCCATGACCTGCAGGAAGCGGGGGGACTCAGGAAGCAGGCGGTAGGCCACGGCCACTATCGCGGATGGAAGCGCGGCTACCCCAAGAAACCAGCGCCACATTGCCTCTTCCTTCCTGTTGCACGCAATGTTCGTTCAAACACTTCGATAGGGCAAGCGTCACGCCAGGATGTCAGCATCGCAAGGGCTAACCTCGACCTAGAAGTACGAGTGGTGACCGTATTTTAGGGTAGAGTTTTTTTTTTTAATCATAAGTACGTTTATAGGAGAAGAAAAAAAGCTTGCCGCAGCAAACACCGGTATACGAGGGAGTCCGTCTTTTACACAACCCTTTGTAATGTGGCTGCGTACGGTTGAACACAGAGTTCTCTGTAACAAACCGAAGTCACGAAATCAGAGAGCTCATCTGTCTTGGCACAACCCTCGATGAAACCGTAGCCGGAAACGTACAGAGCGCGACATAGTTGGACTTGACCGACACGATGTCGAGGGCATCTACGATGTTGGACGAAGCCTAAGGGGGGTCTGGATGGCGGTTTAGGGGACACACAAATTGACAACGTTACCGTAATAGGTTCGCCTACGTGCGCACGCAGGGGGTGGCGCGGTTTCAGTCACAGCGTCTGGAAGATGTCCAACACTTACCCGGGCCCGAGAACATTGGCGAGCATGAGGCCAAAGAGGGAAGCGAAGATCATGCCGATGCCCCAGAAAATTCCAGCAGTTGCACAAAGAATATTAGCCCTATCGTCTGTCGGCAGAAACTCGGTGATGAGCGCGGTCGTCACCGGCAAGTTACCTGCCGTCAGAGAGAAAAACGTAGGGCGACCCGGGCTACTTCTGAGTAATGTTGCGTCATAAGGTACTGCTGTGTCGTCTTGAGTGCTGCCTCGGATGTGTCTGGTGGTATTACGTTCCGTCAGGTGTGTAGCCCTCGCAGTAGGACGTGAAGACACACGAGAGAGATTGCTAGCACCTGTATCGGCTGCCTCGATTTGCCTGTATCCTCACCACGGCATGGACGGATGCGTGTAAAAATGCTTTGTTGGACTAGATGGAGGACATGGAGGACAAGCTTTGCGGTTGCGGTTAACTGGACAGCAGTGACGGAGAACGGAAAGCCGAGCGAAGTGAACGGGATGATTTGTTACGTTTTCGGCACCCTTTGATCACCCAAATCGCCATTTGGCCCTGTTTGACACTGGAATGGCGCCAGCCGCGCTGCTACGGTTGGTTTCGTTGACCGTCCTAACCGGAAATTCTTCCCAGGGAGCGTGGTGATGTGTGGGTCCTGCTCGCCTTACCTCCTACTCCGAAGCCGACGACCGCTCGGCACAGGCAGAGAACGAAAAAAGACGGTGAGAGAGCGGAGAGGACCCCGCCGACAAAGACGCAGGCCAGGGACGACACGAAGGCGGTCCTGCGGCCGCGTTTGTCGGCGTAGATTGACCAGGAACCCGCGCCGACAAGCATCCCTGCAGCGGAGAGGGAGGGAAAGGTAGAGGAGACGAGAAACGGGGTGAAAAGGCAAGCCACAGAGATGGTGGCGTGGGGTCTTCTATTGCGTTTCGGTCACTTATTCAGCACAGTGTGTACCCGTTCACCGTGCTGATGACGCACACACGGAATACCTGGAAACCCTCGGAAATGTCTTGTCCCTTTGTGTGTCACTCCCTCTTACCCAGCCTCCCAACCCCCCGTCCCCCGTCCGCTTGTCCCTCTTCGCCTTACCAAAGAAACTAGCGCTACCGATTAGCCCCTTTCCGACGCTGCTCAGCTCGAACGAGGTCGCGATGGCTTCCAGCACAAACGCCAACACAAGAATTTCCATCGAATCGACCACCCACCCCTGGCAAGCAGAAAGGGACAAGAGCGAGACGGCAAGGCACAAAACGACAACAAAACTCAAGCAGAAGCAGAGCCGCGGGCACGCGTCGTGGAAAAAATCGTGCAGACGGCGAATGAGAGAGGTTGCATGTCGATTTTCCGCAAACGTGAATCCGCGCAAGTACATCCCCCCGGCGACGGTAGAATGATAAATCACGGACCGCCCTAAACAGACAGCCAGTCTTCCGAATAGTGAGCGGTTACGACAGAGTCACACATACCCAGCACTGGCCAGGCGCAACAGCCGTAGAGGCACCAGTCATTCGACACACCGCTTGCACCTTCGGCGTGGTGCCATTCTTTCTCTGCAGCAACGAGTGACGCTCGGCGAGCTTTCGGTTTGGCTTCTTCCTCTCGCGTTCTACTATGCAGTACTGTACTTCGAAGTACCGGCCCCTGTATTTCTTGTACGTTTTGCTTGGAGCGGGCTATGTTGCTTCCGTGGCACACGTTCCAACCTTCACTTGATCTGTGTGCGTATGCTGCCGGTGCTACTTTGTTGATGCTTAGATATTATGCTACACACAGATCTCTAAATAGAGGGGACGCAAAAGAAAAACAGGTTCATTTTTTTTGTTGTGCGTTCGTCTGCCTCTTCTCTCAGTTGTTTCCCAGGAATATTGTAAAGCGCCAATAACGACAGCTGCAGCCGTATGTTCGTGTTTTCGACTTAAGTGTATGCACCCTACACCCAATATAACAAAATTGGTGATTTTTTACTATTTCCACTAAATCATACTACTGCAATACAACATAGACCCCCCCCCC